ATTAAAGAAGGAGGAGGAGGAGGAAGAGGAGGAGGAGGAGGAGGAGGAGGAAGAGGAGGAAGAGGAGGAGGACCCACGAGGAGGACGAGGAGGAGATATGGGAGGAGTTGGAGGTGAGGGAGTTTGCATGGATTTGCTTATATGTCTGTATGAAATTCTCAGCATGTTATTTAAAAAATAAAAATAATATTTGGTGAATTTCAAGTATTGACATTGAAGATAAAAATTTCAATGAAAGTTTTTTTTAAAAGTGAAAAAAGAAGCTGGAGAGATGGTTCAGTGGTTATGAACACTGACTGCTCTTGTAGAGGACCGGGATTCGGTTCCCATACCCACATGGTGGCCAACAACCATCTATAACTCCAGTTCTAGGAGATCTAACACTTTCTTCTGACCTCCACAGGCATTGCACAAGACAGGTGCACATTCAGACAGTGTAATTATACACATAAAATAAAAATAAGGAAATATATTTTAAAAAGAACAACAAAAAAAAAAACTAGCAAAGCTGTGGAATAAAAGAGAAATTCTTCCATGTGGTAAAGATTATCTACTAAAAGCCACACCAGAAGTAAAAATGTAAAATTTTATGACTGAATGATTTCTTACTAAAACCTGTAACAACAAAAATATTTGAAATCTCAATACTCTTTTAAAATCATTTTTCTTTATTCTGGGGAAATTCAAACATGGAAATAATGAAATATGATCATAACTAATCCCTATTTCATACTTCCCACTCCTACATATACCACTCAAATGTTCATTTCCAGGGTCAGGGATGATTATAACTCCACCAGCATCAGGCAAGTGGCAATAGCTCTACAAGACAGCCCAAATTCCTGCATAGATGGGTAAGGTGCTCTCCTTCCATACTATCTACTCAATATTTTTAATGGTAACATACATTCCTAACTGAATTTTGTATTTAATATAATTTCAGCTAAAGAGAAAAATCACTGAAATGATGGGAAATTGTGTGAGTGTGACTGTGTGTGAGTGTATGCATATATGCATCTGTGTTGTGTGTGTGTGTTGTGTTGTGTTTTAAAAAGCTCAGAAGTAAATTTCAAACCTCTTGTCGTCAAATAAAATACCCACAAAAATTAAAATATGAAAAACACTATGTAATATCAACATATTATAAAATTACCTCACTGAAATAATGTGTAGTTTCTCATCCCATGAGAAAATATCTGACAGCAAGACCATAAAGGAAGAGATTCATATTTTGACTCACAATATAAAATGGTTAGGATCCATAAAGGTGGGGATGACATGGCAGAGAGTTTAATCTAGACATTGGGGGCATGAAGCAGCTTCCTGTTGCAATTATAGGAGACAAGGAGTTTCAGCTAGAAATGACAGGGACATCATCCCCTAGTAACTCACTATCTCCAGTAGGCTCCATTTTCAATGGTTCTAATCTTCCCAAACAGCATCAGTAGGTGATGTGGGAATCAGACAGGTCAGAAACAAATACATGAAGGACTGCCCCTGACCTATTGAGGGAAAGCTGCCAACAAAGCATTCCCAGGGGTAATGCCTCAGGGACTGGCAGTCAAATGCCTGTGTGCATACCTGGGACAGGGAGGTTTAACTCTTTTGTTATGTGGACTATTCTGTCTCCAAGTTGGCAGCTGCAAGACAGGGTTAGAAGATCCTTAAATATTTGAGGCAACAAGCACAGTTTTCTTTGGTTACTTAACAATAGACTATAGGTACATGGACAAAAGCACTTGGCTTATGCTATGCATGAATATACTATAAAACCCAGCTGTAGAAATCAGTGTGGTCCATTGCTTATGATTGTACCTGACAAAGAACACAGTCATCCTGTCTTTTTCATTGTGCCAGATCCAGATTCTGGTTCTCCCTTTGGGCTGGTCCTGGCTAGGTGATGAGCAAGTGTTCAAACACATGGACCTATGTGCAACAGTTCAGATTTAAATGATACAAAGTGGAATAGACTGCAAGAAACAGGTCCATATATCTCTGGATAAATTATTTTGCCAACAGTGCATGGGGAATTTAGTGGAAAGGAGATATCTACTGGACATGTGAAAATAATCTGATCAAAGTACACAAAAAATTAATTCGGATGCTTGGAAAAGTCTCAGGAGTAATGTGCTTGCTGCACAAGAATGAGGACCTTAGTATGGCTCCCTAGAACCTATGGAAAAGCTGGGCACAGTAGGGTGCATCTGTGACCCTGGTGCTGGGGAAAGGAGACAGGTAGATTCTGGGGACTTGTTGGCAAGCCAGTCTAGCTAAAACAGCAAGCACAAGGTTCAGTGAGAGATTGTGTCTTTAAAAAACTTGGTGGAAAGACATAAATAGGCCTGAAGTGTACCTTTAACCTCAAAACATTCATTCACAGACAAGCACATCCGCACATGTACATACAGACAATAAAAGAGCCAAGAACTTTCATCCACACTTCATCGCATATGCATAAGGACCATATATCTAAATTTATAACCTGAACTTTTGAAACAAAGTAAATATTTTTAGAATTTTTTTGATGTTAGTACAGAAATATTTGTTTCTGAAGTAATTCTGAAGAATCCATAAATGAGCATACATTGATAAGACTAATTTTAAAAATGAATTGAAGAAAAATGAAAATAATCCCCACATATGTACAAATATGCCACATCAGTTTTTGGGTAAGAGACATCCAGAATATATAAAGAGGACTTAAAACAATAGTAAGAACAGAAAAACTAATAAAAAGGAAAAAAATTGAATGAATAAAACATCTAAAAGCACATATATGGTTACAAACAATATTCAATATCATGAATCATTAGGAAAATGAATATTAGATCACAAGAAAACATAATAAGTACTTATTACAAGATATATAAACCAATAAAAGATGATGATGATGATGAAGATGATGATTGACACCCACAGTCACGATGATGTAGTAAAGGAACTGACCTTTTCACAAACTGTTAGATGGAGTGTACAATGATGTAATTACTTTGGAAAATAATTTTAAGTTTCAAGATAAATAAACACATGCTTACTATATGATCTAGGCATTCCACTGTCATGAGGTTGTTTATTTAAACAAAAACAAATATAAGCTTGTAAACTTCCAAATACTCTCCCACAGATGTCCATTGTATCATTATTCATAGAACCCCTAACTGGAAAAATAAGTTTCATGACTAAATATATATAAAAACATATTACAAGATAAAATTATTGTAACATTAAAAACATATTCACATATTGATACACACACCCACATGGGTTAAATCTATTATGTATAATAAAATAAGCACCACATAAAAGTAATTACCACATTGTTTAAATAATATTAAATATTTAAACATGGAAAGTAATACAGTGAGAGAAATCATGAACATATAGGGAGATGTGTTACCCAGCGGCATAAGAAAATATTTAAATGTGGTGAGTATGTAGGCTGTATTGATGATGGTTTCATGAGTGTGTATATATGTAAACACTTAATTGTCTACTTTAAAAAATACTTGGTTATTTGCTTCTCCTTAGATTTACTAAAGAAAACCAAGATGGGTATGGAGAACTACGGTGAGGTTGTCCTAGCACACACTCTTAAATTACCACATATATTTTACAGAAAACATTGAGAATTGGACAGGATGAGTGTATACAGATGTTACTACATATGTATCTCCACAGGAAGCCATGTAGCTCTAGAAATGGAGTTTCCTTTTCTAATGCAAGGGACCTGACCCAGAATTGCACGAAATATATGCCTTGAGGAACTGGAGGGATGACTCAGTGGTTAAAAACACTGGTTGTTTTTGAGTAAGACCTAGGTTTGAAACCCAGCACCCACATGGCAGCTAACAACTATCAGTAACTCCAGTACCAGGGGATCCAACAGCCTCTTCTGAACTCTGTAGGCATTGTACAACATGGGTGCACTTACCTAAGTGCAGGCAATACATGCATACACATAAAATAAAAATAGTAAATTAAATTGAAAAAAAAAGAAATATATGACTTGAGAAGCATAGTTCCGTGAGGTTACTGTTTATTCTGTAACTCATTCCTTTCTGAAGTCAGTCACTAGAGTGGAAAGAAAGTATAGAAACAGAACAGAAGGAAATGGAGTACAGAACACAATTGGTTGGTCCATTTTCTCAATGCTTGTCCATAATCTCAGTATCAGGAGAGCCTCAGGGAAATTTATCATTTATGGAACCGGACTTTGAAAGGGTTGAATTTCCAGGCATTTATGTCATGCTAAAATAATTCTTTCAAGAAATGCTTCATTGATCTTACTTACACCACATATTTTATTAATTTCATTTCTTTGTACTCTTAAAAAGTATCATTAATTTGATTATTTTATTTAATATATAAACACACATAGTAGAACAAAATAAAAAAGAGAAGCTAGTAAATGGGTTTCAAGTTGGTCAAGTATGCACATACACTTAGAATTTGTCCAACAGTCAGGTGTTAAAGATAATTTTTAAAATATTCTATTCTGATAGGAATTGCCCTGAGTGTTATACAACTAATCATATGAAACAGAAGATGAAGATCCCTTTACTCCAAGTAAAGGAAAGAAAACTATGCTACCTCAGCCATCCTCAGAAAGGGATGAAGTAGGTTCATTTGCATTTAACAGGTAATTTTTTATAAAAGGAACATTTTTTTAATTGTCATAAAATTACAGTGAACCATAATGCCTCAGAATGATTTCCTCAAGGAGTAGCTAACTGCGTAAACCTCAGTAAAAGAGTAGCATCCAGCACCAGGTAAAGGGAACACAAGTTAAGTGCTAAGTTTAGGCTCAGATAGGGGAAATATTGTTAAGAAAATGAAAATAACAAATGGGCAACATGACCTTCAGAAGTCATGGCAACTCTGGACCAAGCCTCTTCCTCATGAAATTTCTCAACACCTCCTTTACATCATTGTTCCTTAAGCTGTAGATCAAGGGGTTCAGCATGGGGATCACTGTGGTATAGAACACAGAAGCCAATTTCTCCTGGACCATGCTGCTGCTAGATGTTGGCTTGAAATACATGAATGCTACGGATCCATAGAGAATCCCAACTGCTGTAACATGAGAGCCGCAGGTACCAAAGGCTTTGGACCTTCCCTCAGATGAGGTTATTTGAAGAATGTTGGAGAGTATGAAGGCATAGGAGATGATGATGGGCACAGTTGTTGCCAATACATTGAATCCTCCAACAAGAAGCACAAAAAGTTCATTGAGGTGAGTGCTAGAGCACGACAGTTTTAAGAGAGGAAGTATGTCACAAAAGTAATGGTGAATGACATTGTTCTCACAGAAGGAAAGCTTGATCATACATGTAGTATGAACCACAGCTCCAAAGCCTGACATGCTATAAACCCCAACCACCAGCAAAATATTTATGTTCCAGGACATGGTGACATTGTAGAGCAATGGATTGCAGATAGCTGCATATCTGTCGTATGCCATGGCTGCCAGCATGTAACTCTCACCAATAGCAAAAACGCAAAAGAAAAAGAGCTGTGTCATACATCCTGAATACGATATAAGATTTTGCTCCTGTATAAAGTTTTCCAGAAGTTTTGGGGTAACAACTGAGGAATAAAAGAGATCTAAGAATGACAAATTACCAAGAAAAAAATACATGGGAGACTGTAGCTTGGAATCCAAGGTGATCAAGAGGATCATACTCAGGTTCCCCACCACAGTGATCATGTATATTCCTAGAAACAGAAAGAAGAGGGGCATCTGGAGTTCTGGCTGGTGTGTTAAACCCTCGAGGAGAAATGCAGTCATGATGGAATTATTGTGCCTGGGCATCTTCAGGAAATGGAATTTGAAGCAAAGAAAGACAAAAATAACAGAAAGTAAGAAAGGTATATTGGTTAAGATTAAATTTTTCTTATAATTGGTGCAATAGCAGAATAGAAAACTTGGTTATCAAATCAAACTGTCCATTGCTGATCAAAATAGCTGGAGAATTATATCTTTCGTGTCAAAATCGACTTTGCTTTTGTCAAAGCCTATTAAAAAGAATATAGAAACAATGAAATACAGCATTATTTCAAACAGCTGTACCTATCTGTACAAATCAAGTTTCTTGTCTCTTGTTCCCTTTGAGTTCCCAGTGTTATCTAGGATAAGATTCCAAAAAATATGGAAATATCCAGATCTTCAATACACACAGTGAAAATGCTTGGTACTTGTAAAGTCTACTTATTGTTTAGCATTCAGGAAGTAATTGTGGTGGTATAAACAGGCCTTGAGTGCTTTTATTTATTATTTACCATGGAATAAATAACAGAAGAGAGAATGTCTGTATTATGCTAATATTCAGAGTCACAGAAAGAAGCACATTGACTATGAGGTTCCTAAATCTGCAAGTTTTCAACTTTGTGCTAGACATCTGTTGTACAAATGAATATTTCACTATATATATATATATACATATATATATTAGTTTAGGAAGATATTGAAACATTGTGGGTAAATAGAAGAACATGGATTAAACAGTAAGAAATAGAACCGACCATGTCCTGTTGTGTAGTCAGCTGCCTATCACTGCAGAAGAAAATTAATCTCTAATTTCAGTTGCATTGGCTTAACACATATCCTCATACTTTACCTAAACAATTTTATTAAAGTACAGATTTGAAAATCTCTATCAGAATCTTTATTTACCTGCAAATATTTAGAAAAAATGGTGTACACTTACCTGATTTCTGAAACAAAGAGAAAATTTTCTTTTCTTGATTTTGTCTCTTGTAATTAGAGACAAATTCACACACTTGGCCTTAAGGTAAATATTATCTATTCAGTCTCTTACTGATCTTTTTAAGAGTGAGATCTAACTAAAAAATCAAATGGAAACTTTTGGATAAAAAAAAAAATTGAGCCCTTTCTGTCTGAAGTTTGCCATGCCCAGCTGCATCACTAAGACATCATGTGACTGCCTGGAGTCACTTTACCTTTACTTTTCTGTGAAAGAAAAAAACTGTTCTTAGGATCCCTATGATCAGTTACAGATCTGATATTTGGTACTACTGGGTTAGTATTAATAAGAGACTCCTCTACCGTCCTGAGCAGATCCTTCTCATCAAAGGAACGGTTTGACTTATTGTTTGCAGCTCTTTGACCTCCAAGGAGATGAATAAGTGTTCTCCAAGGACCCAAAGACCCAGGAAGACTTTCAGAAGTGAGAGTCTCCTGAGAAGAAACACAATTAAGAAATTATATTTATACCAAGAATAATATATCACAAGCAAAATATTGGTATGTTCAATATTCCAACTTAAAAATTGACATTACTTTTTGAGGAAAAATTTTTGTGCAAAAGATAGGAATGTTTCTTCAATGTGACATTTATAAAATTGTCCTAATATTTATGTACAACACTTTGACAAGAAGATTTCTATATTCTTCACTGGGCAAAGACTTGACATTAATCTCTAAGTTTCAAAATCAAGGTGTAGGAATTCTAGCTTCCATGCTGGAGGTTATGTTGATAAGTTTTTAAAAATGCTTTTATTGTTATTAGCATCAATTGACATTTAACATTTTGGATCACAAATGCACATAGCAGTAACAGTGGCACCTCAGTCATGTCACGAAATATATATCTTTTGTTCAAATAAGAGACTATTCAATTAAGAATTTTTATTTAGACAAAGTTTGGGGAAGATATACAGACAGCTTACTCAACAAACTCCCAGCTGTACAGCCATAAGAACCAGAGCTACATTCCCAGGCTGAGGAAAAAGCAAAATGCTTTTATGCTGCCTGTTACTCACGTGCCTGGTAAGCAGACACAAGTGGTCTGTGGGGGCTTTCTGACTAGCCATACTAGCCAAATCAATGACCCTGGGTTCAATGAGAATTAAGCTCAAAAAATAAGATTCACAACATTTAAAAGATACACAGAATATTGAGGTCTAGACTCCACATGCACATGAACACACATGCACACCCTTCACCACACATATGTACATACACTCTGAGTTGAAAGATATATTGTGTATATTTTATAGGCAGCCAACACAGTCATGAAGGAGAAGACCGTTTAGAGGACTTTCAATGCTGGACTTTATGATTCAGCCAACTGTAGTAATGCTGCCGAAAATATAGTAATATTGCCAAAAAAAATATACAAGACCAATGGAAGGGAAGAGAGACACAATAATAGAAGTCCAGAAAGAAGTCACACAAGTACAGTAAACTGATCTTTGACAAAGAAACCAAAGTAGTTTAATAGAGAAGGGCTTCCAGTAGCAATGATGGCAAGACAGGGCACCACCTATAAATAATCAATTTAGATTTATGTCTTACAGCATTCACAAGAGTTAAGTCAAATGAATTACAAATTTAAAGATAAATGTAAACATATAAAACTTCTAGAACAAAATGTAAGTTAAAATCTTAGGGGCTAATAAATAAGGTATGGAAAAATAAGGGCCTTCAAAATGGCTCTGTGAGTAAAAGTGGTTACCACTATTCCTAGTCTCATGACCATGGTTTTATCCCTGGGAATCCACACGTGAAAGGACAGAACCTGTTCCTATTTAGATCCTCTTCTGTGTCTGTCACTACCCCTTACTAACCTGTTAACCCCCCAACAAATTTCTGTACATATATACAACCATATATAGGAGGGAAGGAGGGAGGGAGGGAGGGAGGGAGGGAGGGAGAGACTGTGTCAGTCATGTCCGTGTACCCAAATGCTCTTTTGTATGGGCATATCCACGGAAGCCTAGTCAACCTAGTAAGCATCTCACCTTTAAACAAGACTGAATCTCTGCTTTGCAGCTGCCAACTATATTCAGCAGTTCCTCAAGTGGGGTTTGGATTTCTTACCCACATTCCAAGTCTATAGTGGGAGCTTACTTGGCATGAGCTTACGTGGGACTTGTGCATGTTGTCACTGTTCCTGTGAATTCATACGACTGACTAACAAGCTGTCTGGGAAACTCTCTTTCTTTCTGGTCATCCAACTCCTCTGGCTATTATAATCTTTGTGCCGTGTCTTCTAACAGAATCCCTGAGTCTATATGTTTGCTCTTCACTGGTAAGCAGTCTGTAGCCTCTTATTTTCTGCAGGTTGACCAGTTGTGGTTCTCAGTGTTAATCACTATCTGTGGTGCAAGTGTGTCTTTCCTGAGTGTTCAGAATGCATTATCTATGGGTATAACAGTAAGTCATTTGGAGCCAGTTTATTCATTTATTTAGAAGAATAGCTGTTTTAGGCTTTCTCCTGTGGGCTGTGAGTTTTCTAGCCTCGGGTTTCTAGACTGATATCAGTGTGAGGTATGAGCTATAGTCTATGAAGTGGAGCTTAAATCCAATTAGAAAGTAGTTGGTTACCCCTGTAAAATTTATATCACTATTGTACCAGTGGGCTTTTTGCCCATGGGAACAGATGTTGTAGCTCCCAGGACTCACAGCTGAGAAAGTTCATGTAAAACTTTTCTTTCGGGGAGTTGCTTAGCAACTTTCAGCACTATGAAATCCAGAGAGTAGAGATGGTCTTTGAAATCAGCAACAGGTTGATTTCTCCCTGTTTTTTCTACAATTCATGAACACAGTATCTTCATCAAGGAAATTCTGATGACTAAACAGGAGCAGGGGCAGTGGGCAGCAATGCTTGATGATACATGGCTCTAGGGAACCCCTAGGCAACAACTCAAAAGAGTGAATCTACTCCTGGCCTTGGGCTTTTACTTTGCAAGTCTGTGGTGTCTGCTAAGGGCAATGTCCCCCCAATGCCCCTGTGTTATAAGGTAATACATTTCAAACACTTTTTACAATGTATAATATATACTTAAAATTGCTTCTATAGCAGTGTTTCCATATTTTTTTCTATTTTTTTATTTATTTTATGTGTATGGGTGTATTGCCTGCATTTATGTAGTGCACTTGTGACGTGCTCCATATAAATCAGAAGAGGGCCTTGGATTCCCCTGGAACTGGAGCTATGAATGGTCGTTAGCAGCCATGTGGGTGCTGGGAATCAAACTCGGGTCCTCTGCAAGAGCAGTCAGTGCTCTTAACCGCTGAGCCATCTCTCCAAATCTTCTGCCTTTCCCGATCATGTGAGTACTTGTTTTAAAGGTATGGATCACAACACCTGGTTTTATGTTGGGGATAGAACCCAATGCTTCATGTGTGCTAACAAACAATCTAATAACTAAGTTACAGTCTCAGCCCTAAAAATACATTTTTAAATGCTTCAACTCCAACAAAAGAAAGTGGGATGGAATACAGCTCCCCAAAATGCAACTGAACTCATATAGTTCTAAATATCTGTGGCTAGACAGATTCTTTTATTATATTATATGGCATAGGCAGCATAAACTACTCTTTATACTTGAAATTACTTTGCCTGGCATTTACATGTCTCATGTGGTGTTCTCGAAAAATTACACTAACATATTGGTCTAGAAAAGTATTTTGTGCTGAATAGCTTTAGTTGTCGAATTGACACACTTGGGTAGACAGAACCTTTACTGGGAAATTGTCTCCTTTGGACTTGCCTGTAGCCATATCAATGGGGCATTTTTTAAAATTTGTTTTTATTTAATTTTTGTGTATTTCATATAGAACATCTCCATGGGCACCCTCCCATACCCCCCGAATGGAGCCCATATACTCTGTCATCCCTGTTAAGGCCCACTTTATCAAGTCAGTATCCCCAGACATTTCCCAGTGCAAGCCCATCCACTCATGATTGTTGAGTGATATGGCATTCCCATCCCACTGTAGTTGATACTACCCCTGGGCAGGTGGTCCTGTACTGTATAAGAAAGCAGGTTGAGCATGGGCCAGAG